TTTTTTTTTTTTTTTTTTTTTAGCAAATAGAATTTTCATTGTGAAGTGTAGTAGGCAAGAAAACCATTGCATGATTGAGTGGCTAAATCAATAACCTGAGGAATGTATGATACGCTGTGAATAAATAAATGCGATAGCTGGGGAAGTGATCTAAAGCCATTTTCACAAAAAGCTTTAAAAAGCATTATCCCCATATCACACGGATCCTTTAAACAAAGATATTGATTGAGAACAGTAATAATAATTTCTTAGATTTATGTGACATTTTTTAATCCTCAAAGTATTTTTCTATACAGTATGTCATAGAACCATAGATCTTCTAAGTTAGAAGCAACTACAATAATCATCTAATTTAACTATTATTTCTTTCAAAATCCCAATGAATAGCTCTTCCAGCCTTTGCTTGCATACCCACAGAAACAGGGAACTCACTACCCCCTGACTCAGTTCACTCCACTGCTGTATAACTCAAACAGTTTGAAAGGTTTGTCCACTGTCTTGCCATGAACAGGAATGTTGGTCGCCCCTCAATGGGGCCCACCTGCATAAATCTGCATCATTTTCTGTGGGACGGTCCCTTTGATAAAAACATGTCTTCAAAGGTCTTCTCTTCTCACACTGAAAATCAAATGTTCCCTTTCATCCCCTTTGGTAACATAGTCTGTCACTGATGTCAGAATATTTTACTACAGCTAACATTTTAATAACAGTTATCATTTCTTGAGCACTTATTGAATGTCAGGCACTGTACCATACAGAATTCTGCCCAAGAGCAAAGACTCTCATTTTGGACTGACAGGAGTTGGAATTCCAGGTTCGGCACCCATTGGTGAGGTGAACTGGAGCAAGTTAAAAATCTCACAACTCCCAGATTCTTCATGAACAGTGCTTACCTCACAGGTATTAGACCAATTCAATGGAATAATGCATGTCTCTACCTAGACTATGCAGGACACTTACATGTGCAACCTCACTTGGTGCTTAGGAAATCTCTAAGAATTGGGGGATATTACAACAGCTTTACAGATGATGAGGCTGGTCTGGCGAAGGTCGTAAGACTAGCAATGGAGACATCCTTCAACCTTGGACCTGAATTCCAAGTCCTACACTCCCTTAATATAGCAAGAATTCCATGTAGGAAGGGAGTCTTTGTAAGATTTTATCCATACTCTCCTATAATTTCAGCCAGCAACTAATGTACAGAAAGGAGAAATCATGGTCCACACATTAAGGAAGGAGGTTCTGGAGTCAACCTACACAGAGCGAAATATCTGTTTTACCACTTAACCTTCGCAGGACCAAGTCACACCAATAGATATTGTTTGTATTAACATCTCAGGTTCCTCACCTATGAAATAAGCATAATAACAGCATCCACCTTATGATGTGCTGTGAGGATTAAATGTAATAATGTATGTAAGACAAAGTTTGGAATACTACCTCGCGTATAGTAAATAATCAATGCCAGGCAGTTTCATTTTGCCTCTAGATCAATAGCAAAATAGCAGCAACAATAAGACTAAACCCAGTGTCTTCTTACTCCCAGATTACAGTCCTTGCTGCAATGGCAATGGTGCCCATGACGTGCCAGGCTGGATATTAGGTACTATTTATATATTTCTTCCACTCTTCCAAATAACCCTGTGAGACCAGCGGAGATGGCCTTCCACTCTGTTTCTCACCTGAGGTCCCCCGAGTACCTCCTCATTGCATGATCCTTGGGATATTAACAGTCAGATGACATGACCTTTTAGGACAAAGTAGATGCTCAACTGAGGTCTTAACAAGCCCGAAAGACTAGGCTGGTTCCATTCCAGGAGGCATGGACTGCGCCAGGTTTCAGTGACTAAGCGGGAGCTGGATGCCCCACATGGACGGGCAGAATGTTTATGCTAAGAAAAGGGAATGGAGAACATTGACCCTGACCTCCAGATTTCTTTGAGATTTGACTGAATGATTTGGGTCTTCCCACAGACGATCTCAGATCTTCACCGAAGATAAAAACCATGAGAAATTTGACAGAGTGAGAGTCACGGTCTCACGAGTAGCCATGCGGCATGAGTTTGGATTCCTGGCAAAAGCCTCCTCCTAGAACTGCCCTCTTATTAGCGCTGTAGCCTTAGTCAAGTCAGTTAAACACACTGCGTCTTGGATTTCTCATCTGTGAAATGGGGAGACAGACCCAAGCCAAGGCCATTCTGAACAGCTGCCTGGGGGGGATGGAAGGAGCAAACACTCTTTATTTTTGCTGAACTGTCTGTGGCCAGAAGAGCAAGGACGGAGTCTGAGACGCAGGAAAGGCCTATTCTCCAGGCCATGCCCCGCTAGCTGGTGGGGAGATCCTAGACATGTCCTAACCTATACTTGGGACTCAGTTTGTCCATCCATGAAATGAAAGGATAGAACACATCAGCATGTCTCAATAATAAAAATCCCCTAATAATAAAAGCTAACGCTCTTATATGCCAAGCTCCTCTGAACAAAGTACTTGGTGTACCTGCACGGTAAGTGTTAGGATAACCCTCTTTATAGATGAAAAAACAAGGCACGGTGGGAAAGTACTTTGCCCAGATGATTCAAAGTGTTGAGTACATGACAGACTTTCCATCCAGACACGTGGGCTCTGGAACCTGCGCGTATAACCTCCATGTCACCCTAACTCTAGATAGAGGGCAGAGTCCTCCGAGGTGCATCCCACCTGTGAGAGGCTGGGCTGCCATCAATGGATGCCCTGGAGTTCAAAGTTTCCTGGGCAGGACTCTGTCTCCTGAGGATAACGTAAGGGGAGGAAAGATCCAGGTGTTGGAGCTCCGAAGGAGGAAAGGAACCACCAGGTGGTAGCCTTGGGCCACTTTAGTGCATGGGCAGGGAGGGTCTGCAGGGTGGCAACCCGGTGATCTACTCGGCCAGCCACATCCTAACTCACAGAGAGCTTCAGAGACACCTGGGCCTCAGTGAGTTCTTCTTTCCAAGCTGACTTCTCTGAGCAGAAGGAGAGGTGAGGAGCGCCTACAGTCCTTGCTGATACAGTCTGATTTTGTGGAACTACCACTGGGCCTGGAGACAGAGACAGCCCATTTAAGATCTCTTATAATTGAGATAGTACTATCCAGGTCACTGGATTATGGCAAGAATGTATGTAAATAAATGCTGTGTTGGAGCACATAAAATGCTTAATAAATATGAGTCCAAACTGAGTCTTTCTCTCCAATGTAACAAGAAGAACAGTCACACCCCCTCAGTTCTTCTTAACGTTAGACGGTGCCCATGCTCCATGAGGAACTCGGCAAGTCCCCTGAGGTGGTACAAACTTGCACCTCAAAGTTAGCGTGCAGGCACCCACTTGGCTTGACATGTGGCTGCATCATGCGCTAAATATATACATGGGCAAAGTCTGTCACATTCACTCCATGAATAACACAAAGGCCTTGATTTGTGCCTCCAAGTGAAGAGCACGCGTTAGGTCCAAAATTAACACTGCTGTCTAGCTGGGGTTTGCGTGTGTTTTTCCAAAAACAGAAAACTTCCAAGCTCTTGCTCAGCCCCAATCCGAATGTCTAATGCGCACTGTTAGTTGAAACAGGAAAACAAAGACCGAAAGCAAAGATCTGCTCCGTGGTAGACTCTCCAAAAACACCTGCGGACTGTTGAACAGGAAGAAATGAGAAGGTGGGTGGTAGCCTTACTCGGCTGTGTGGCCTATGCCCATCACCTCACCTCCAAGCCACACCGTCCTCACACACAGACTGGGAGTCCCATCCCCTAGCCTCAGGCACCAGGCAGAGTTGTGCTAAGGAGAAAACACTGTAAGAGAGGCTTGAGGACTGAAAATCACTGGGGTGGGGGTCATCTATAGCTATTAACTGATCTCTTATCCAGCCAACTAGACCCCACACATTCTGCATACTGAATTTGTCTTTTCCCATCTACCTTGCAAAGTCATTAATTACTGCTTTTTAAAGAGACCATAAATGTGAACCCATTTATATTTTAGATTTCCAGTCACTTGATTTCACCCCAGGCGCCTTCATCGAGGAGGCAACAGGTTCAGGGAGTTCCCGATTGTGGAACCCCCAGAGGTAGAGGGCCGCCTCACCTCTCTGCCCATCACTTCACCTCCAGCATGGAAGCGACACGCCTGGCTACATACGCAGCCTTCCTGGCGAGAACACAATGAGATTACGTCCACAGAGGTGCCCAGCACAGTGCCCGAGAGGTGACAAACAGGTGTTTCATTCTCACCCTGAGAGTGTAGAGGACATTGTGCCGGCTTCGTAGCCAGACACGCCTGGGTTCGAAGAGCGCGCCCCTCTCTTAAGAGCCGTGTGACCCTGGATGTTTCTCTGCCCACTTTATGGTATTTATAACTGTAAAGTAAGGGCCATGAGGGGCTTCTGTGTGCAACCACACAAGCTATGCCCAGCCCGGCTCCAGGGGCCACCATGTGGTGCCTACGCTGCAGGGGGTGTTGTGAGGGTTAAAGCACCTGGCACACCAAGGGCACTTGGGAAAGGGCAGCCGCATTCCGATTTGTTCCGATTTTGTTTGCTCAGCCATTCTTGGAAAGGCCAGATGTATTTTGGAGCAACTGGACCTCAGCCCTCGGCAAAGCAGGCCAAGCACATGACAGATGTTAAACAGCTATTCCCAGAGACGTCAGCCAAAAGGCCAAGGAGTTGAGGACCCTTTATTTTCTTCTGCGAAGCACAATTAGTTTGTCACAGCTGACAGATGACGGATGGGTATGCATCAGTCCAAGTGACACCATGGGATCTGTCTGACCTTCTCTTATCAGTCTCACCTCACACTCCATCAGCTCTTTCCCGCTACCTGCTGACCACCCCCTGCCTCCCCCTCCATCCCTCCCCACCTTGCCCTCCCCTGCCCCCAGGGCTCCCCACCTCGTTTCCACTCACTCACCATCACTGAAATGTGGAGAATGTGCATCTGCTCCTCCACAATCTCCGAGGGCTCCTGGAGTGTGGGGGCGGTGGCCCGGGCCAGCTGCCCGGAGCTGCTCATGGAGACGTGGAAGTAGAGAGTGCCGTTCTCCAGCCACTGCTGCCTCCAGTGCACCAGCGAGATGTCCGCCGCCGTGCCCGACATCTCTGCAAGACAAGACGCAAGGTGCCCGGTGAGCTGCATGCCAGGCCTCGGTGCTGCAGTGAGGGAAGAAGCCACGCCTCTTCAGAAGCTCAGAAGGTACCTCCTTTGGACCAGGAAGCCTGTCCTCACATCAAATCTATGAGCCAGAGGTCATCACTTCCATTTATAGATGGGTCAACGGTGGCCAAGATCCATCCCAAGCAACAGAAAGGCAGAGGCAGGATTTAAACTCAGGTCTGTCTGGTGCCCTTCTGCAGAGCACCATGCATGATACGGTGATTCCTTCTGCTGCCAGCAATGAATCAAACTAAGCAAGGGGGGCAAAGTGCTTACATTCTCCTGAGGTCATGAACANATCAAACTAAGCAAGAGGGGCAAAGTGCTTACATTCTCCTGAGGCCACGAACAAGACAAAGGGAGGGCACTGCTGAGAGGGTGACTTCTTCAGCAGCTGAGCTGGAGGCACTAGTGGCCGAACAGCAGAACCTCAGAACCGGAAAGGCCCAAGAGAATGGGCCGGCCAAGGGGCTCAGGGCCATCCTTTGTGTGAAAGGAGCTTGGCAAGTAGGATGTTCTGAATCTGTTTCTACCGCTTCAAGCAGAGCAGCTCCACGTTGTGGCAGAGTATGTGCTGCGCTCCCAAGCACTGGGGTGTCAGCACAAAGGTTTCCATGGCTTAAAAATACTTGAAAAGCCATTGCGCCCCCCCCCCCCC